TTTTTCGGAGTATAAGACGCACTGGAGTATAAGATGCACCTTAGTTTTTGGGGAGGAAAATAAGAAAAAAGCTGATTGGCAGGTGGATCCACCTCCCGGAAAACCCCAAATCAGCTGTTCCCAGAGGTGAATTTTAGCAACAGGTTCCTTGGTTGTGAGCTCTGTGCCTTGCTTTTTTTTTCTGCCTCTGAAACTTCTGAAACTCTGTTTCAGAAAAATCTTTTCCCTGCCTCTGAAAGCCTCCAAAACAGAGCTTCAGGAAAAAAGCCTCTGAAGCCTCTGTTTGGGGGCTTCTTTTCTGAAGCTTCATTTCTGATGCTTTTTTCAGCCACTCAAACCTCCGTTTGAGAAGCTGGGCGGGGCTACATTTGGAGTATAAGACGCACCCAGATTTTCACCCTTTTTTGGGGAGGAAAAAGGTGCATTTTATACTCTGAAAAATACAGTACTTAGGACTCCCTCCACTTCCTGAGTAAGGATTTGCATGCCTGGAGCTACAGCTGCAATTGGGATTGTTTCACTTTATGGCTACATTATTTAGTAACAGAAAGTTTGGTCCAATTGTGGTTTTAAATCAAGGACTACCTGTAATGTAGCCTTACAATAAAATAGAATTAGTTCATCTATTTGTGTTTCCTGTCTGGTTTACCTGGGAAGGCTGACCACTTTGCAAGTCTGCTATTCCCTTCCAAAGAGGAATTTCAGAAATGGCCTCCAGTCTTCAAGGAAATCTGCTGTTTGTTGAGCATCTGGCTGCTATGTTGTTGTAACACCAGCAGCAGTGGATGCACAGATGACCAATTTGCAGAATGCCATGATATAACTAATAGCTGGGGCAGAATTTGTTTCAATCTTTGGCAGCACAACAGATGGCAGCTCAACCAATGCTCCTGAATTCCTATCGGAGCTAGCCAGAGAAGTTAGAGGGGGCCACGTCTGAGCTTCTTTCTCTGCCATTATGAATCTTTGATCTATGCCTTATCTGACGATTCTATAGGCAGCGTCTCTTCATCCTGTTTCTCAAGCTTTTCTCACCCTTTTTCACATACTGTCACAATAGGAAAAAACATTTCCACCTTATGAATTGTTTCCTCCTAGATAAGCAATACCCAAATTAGAAGGCAGGCAGACATGTATAAATAAAAGTATTAATACAATATAGAAGAACATCTTTTTAAAAAATAAGCAACTGGCAATTTTGGGATCACAGCAAACCAAGTATCTACTTAGGGGCATAGAGGGATCAAAGAAAGAATGACATAGTTATCAGGAGTCAATGTATAATTCACTGCCAAATATGTTTCCATATGCATAAAGGAAGATTAAAATGGCTTTTTTCCAAAGAAAATAATTGCCCTTCCACCCTTGTGAATTAAGGGTTTGCTTTTAGTAATAATCCAGGTCTTTAAATCATAACTTCTTTCTCCTTTTGAATTCCCACCTTTCTTTTGGGACATTTTTTCCCTCCATTCCATAATAAACCCTGCAGTTTTTTTGGTAAAGTATTTCAGAATTGGGTTGTCATTGCCTCCTTCCTAGGTCTGAGAGACAGTGCATAAGGTCAGTTAGCTGGGTTTGTAGCTAAGCCAGGACTAGAACTCATATTCTCCTGGTTTCTAGCTTGATGCCTTAACCATAACACTAAATTGGCTCTCTTGGGATATCAGGGAATTCTATAATTTAAAATCAGCATAATGAGTAACAGAATCTAAATGTATTCTCTATGTGTGTTCATTGCTATGTCCAGGTCAATTTTCAGATTTAATTTACCTGAATTGCATGAAAATTTATCAAACCCTCTATTTGTGACATTTGTGGCTCTCTAAGGAGATCAGTTTGAATAAATCTTGGTTTGGATCCCAAAGAACTATGTTTGGTGATAAAAGGAAGGTGAGTATAGTTCCAGACTTTAAACTGGGTTCATTTCTGGCTCTAAGTTTATGAAACAGAAAAAATACTCTACTTGCTAGAAATACACACTTGTCCAAGATTCTTAATTCTAGCACATGTTTCTGGACTTCTGGAAATAAAATGTTTTGTTGGCGTAAGTGAGAAGGATTTGAGATGCACCAGTGATCATGGATAACTCTTACTTTCTAAGGGCCTGGGTTCAAATTCCCCTCAAAGCTTAAGCTACTGATCTGTATTACTCTTCTCCATTTTCACACTGAATTGCACGTTTCCTTCAAGTCTGAGGAAAAGGCACTTTTGCACACTTAGAGACACTGTCCTTTTTATTGTATGTTATACACACATATACCATATTTTTCACACTATAAGATGCACTCCCCCCCCCCAAAAAAAGTGTGTGGAAATGTCTGTGTGTCTGTGGAGTCTGTGCGAAGGCTCCAGTGTTCCCCAGCAGTGACAGCGGCTCAGCTCAGTTGACCAGTGGTGGGCACAATGGAGCAGAGCCCTGATGAGCCACGTGCTGGGGCTGTGATAATGTGCTGAAGCTGACCAGGCTGTTTGTTGTTTACTGCAAGGATATTAGCCAGATGAATAGCGGATGGATTTGGGAGGCAGAGGCAGATTTTTTTTTCTTGTTTTCCTTCTCTAAAGCTAATGTGCGTCTTATGGTCTAGTGCGTTTTATAGTGCAAAAAATACGGTACATATTTATAGTATGTTCAGGAGTTCTATGGCCTGAAAAAGTTTGAAACCTTTTAACTTAACTAAAATATGGCATGAAAGGCCAAGGTTGAAGAAAATGGGCCCTGGAGATAAGGACAGGAAAGAAGCTGATCCATTACTAATTAGCCACAAAGACTGCCTGACATTGTCCAGTGACTGGTGTCAAAGTGTTTGGAACAGCTGTCCAAAATTCCAAAGGAATCTTGCAACCCTCAGCTCAGCTGCCATGCCTACACTCTGTCCCAACTGATTGCATGCAGGAGTGTATTGGTTTCAAAATGCCCTGCCTGAAACTCACAGAAGTAAACATTCTATTATGCTGATTTTACTGATGGTGGGCAGTTGCAACTTCTGAGTTTAGATGGAAACAGGAGATGCACATAATTTCATGGATTCAGGTTCAATTACTGCAGTAATTCAAATAAAATGAATATAACAATATCCAAATGAAATAAAATAATTTGCAATAAGTAAGCCTTTGTTACAGTCCTACCGTGTTTCCCCGAAAATAAGACCGGGTCTTATTTTCTTTTAGACTTGAAAATAAAAACTTGGGCTTATTTTCGGAGAGGTCTTTTTTTTTTTTTTTTTTGAGGTGCAGGAGATGGTGAGCGTGATCACCTCATGGCTGCTGGGCCCCTTAACTGTGGCCCGCAGATCAGCTGATCCAGCAAGGGCCAGGAGTTCAGTCTCTCTGGGTGCCTGGAGATATTTCCAGCGCACTCGTGCTAGCTCCAGTCCTGCCCACAGCACCAGACAACCTTGCAGCCGAGGGCCCCTCTGTTCCGCAGCTCACCTTGTGGCTATGGAACAGGCGGCGAGCCCAATTTGCACTCCGCCAGGCCTGGAATTGGGTGTTGTTTAGGCTGCCGCTACAATGAGGCAGAAAGCACCATTGGAATCGGCTTCCCCCCCGCCCCCCCCTGCTGCCTCTACCCAGCTGCTGCTGCTTGAGAAAAGGACAGGCAATTGTGGAAGATTGTGGGAAGCGAGGGGGGGGGACCGATTCTGATGGGCCACATGGCTTTTTGCCTCATTGTAGCAGCAGCCTAAGCAAAACCCAAGCTCCATGTGTGGAGGAGCGCAAGCCGTGGTCGCCACCTGCTACATAGGCACAAGGTGAGCTGCGGAACAGAGGGGCCCTCGGCTGCAAGGTTGTCTGGCAATATGGGCAGGGCTGGGGCTAGCAACAGTGCACTGGAAATATCTCCTGGCAGCTGGAGAGACAGAACTCCCGGCCCCTCGCTGGACCAGCTGATCCGCAGGCCATAGTTAAGGGGGCCAGCAGCCATGAGGTGACTGGGGAAGGGAAAGACTGCCTCCTGTGCTGGCCATACCCACCCCTTCACTAGGGCTTATTTTTCAGGTAGGGTGTATATTATCAGTCCCCCCCCCAAAAAAATAGGACTTGGCCTTACTTTTGAATAGGTCATATTTTTGGGAAAACACGGTAATGTAGGACTATAAAAAATGGTTTTAGAAATGGGCTCAAGTTTGAAACAAGTGGTGAGACAGAAGGAGAGATGAGAGAAAGAGTGGCACTTACCTGCAATAGTAGATAAGCAGGCAGAGCAAAATGAGGACCAGCAATGCCAGGGCACCCAAAATAGTAAGTAGAAATATAGTATGGTAGGTAGCAATATCTTTAATTCCTGCTGTTGAAGTTCCCAGTCCTGCAAAGAAGCAGCTTTTATGATTAGATAGTATGGGGCCCTTTTTCACTCGACTTGGAAATAGTATTTGTTATCTATTATGAGAATCTATATATAAAGCCCTTTAAGTTACAATCTCTGGATGGCTTACAATTGCGTTTTTTTTTAAAAAAATGCAGTTTAATTAAAATAACATAAATAACAATTAAAAAGGTCAAAGCATCAAAAGATTTAGAGAATAAGATATTCCTCTGGAAAATTTGTGTAGAAAAGATTGGGGTGGGTGGGTGGGGGAGAATAATAAACACCCCCGCCCCTTTTGTACATGTGTCATGATATTGTATGCGCTTATGAACCAGACAGGGCATGTGTCCCAAAGTTAGAAGAAAAACATTCCACTCAAACTGAGAGTTGTTCTAGAAATTAGAATCCCAAAAATGCCACACCCCAAAACAATTCCCACCAGTATCAAACTCTTGGCAGTTTATTGCAACAGGAAGCAAGATTCTTTCTGGGTTTAGCAAGATTTACTGTAGAAAATAGGATAAAGTTACAGAAATCTATCTCTAGATTTAATTTTCAGAAATCAAGTTAACCCTCGATTAGTTAAGACAGAGACATTTTCACTCTTACAAAGGACCTCCGTGGGAACTGTGCCATTCTCCTAACTGATAATTGATCCAACATGTTAATCTTCCTCATATCATGATACCAGATATGCAAGAAAACACCTTGTGTTCACCGAGATCAGTTTACTTCTCAGAGACTTTGACAATTTTACCTGATACAGGAGACAGCATAGCGGCTGCCCAGTAGCCCAACTGTGGAGACACAAATGTCCAGTACAGCTGATTTCCCTCCTTGCGGATAAGTCCAGTTCCATTCCGGATCCACAGCCCTAAGAAGAGAGTATATGACTGAGTCTGCAGCAATTAAAAAAGCCATCTGAATAACCTGAAAGAAAGGGAACTACTCACCAGCACTAACCTCTCAACCCCTCATAATCAAAATTATTCAAGAACATATGGATATATTGTAATATTGTAATCAGTATCTGTATTGTGCCATACCTAGTGTGTTTTCATGTACACAAGAAACACAACATTGTGATATGGAATAGGCTATCTAAAAACATGATGTGGATCTCAAAATATCTACCCTAGCTGAAATTCTAGTACCATCATTTCACTTAATAACTTCAACATTAACTCTAACCAAGCCCCTAACCTGAAAGAAGCTAGGAGACCTTGACTGACCCTGCCTATCCCAATATCAAACAGCATTGAACAATGCTACTGTCTGGTATTGAACAGACAGCATTTTGCTTATATGCTAGGATAGGGGTAAACAAAGAAAATGAGCTCAGATTTAGAGGGCATTATAGAAATAAAACATATATATCCATATCAATTCTACATTGGAAGGCTGAAGTACAATACAAACTAAACTTAAAGAAAAATAGTACAAAAAAAGAATAAAAAGTGCAAGAAAAAAGAAAAAGAGGAAAGAAAAAGTTAAAAAAAGAAAAAGAAAATACATGAAGAAGTGACCTCCCATCTTCATTATTACAGATTTGTATTATAAGATCTGCACCAGGAGTCTATTCCTCTACACTATTACAGTAGAACACTTCCATCAATCTCATCCTCATTCTTCTTTCTGGGAACAAAATGCTTCCACATCAGATTTGGTTCTTGTAGGCATGGTTCTTGTTTGCCAGCACAATTTCCTAATGTTTTTCCAGGCGCACTTGTAAATTTTATGATCCTGCCGAAAACATGCTTCTATGGGTGAAGGAGAGGATGTTTGGATCCTATTAATCACTCAGTGTGCTTCCTGCCAAAGCCTCTGTTTATACAAGCAGTATTGTTCCTTGCTTCACATGTTTGTAATTATTGGATACAATAATGATCAAACCGTTAAAAATATGATTCAGAAGCATTCCACTACTCACCGCTCTTGAGGTCAAAACGCCAGGCTGGCACACTGGTACTTGCTACAGCAGCTGTGTCAAGTGGCAGTGGGATGGAGAGGTGGACTGAGCCAGAAAGCTGGACTTCTGTGCTATTTGCAGTGAAGAGGTGGACGCTGACTGCAACAATAGGCACCAACTCCAACCAAGTATTACTAGCTGTACAAAGAGAATTAAGAAATAATGACTCTCACATCCCCAGAGGCCCCACAGCCACATATACATTGGATATGCATTTTCAAGAGACAAAATCCAAAAGATACTATTCTGCGCAGAGTAATGTATGAATTGTGGTAGATTAAAAGGATTTTTAATTATAATCATGTATTGTTAAAATACAGAGTTACTCTACAAAAAACGGGGAGGGGATGGAATTCAGAGGGACGGAAAGTTTCTTTGTTCTCAGTGAGCTGTGCTTGGAGGCCTTGCTGGAATTGGGCACTTGAGAAAACAAATTTCATGCGACTGGGCTAAAAATTGAAGTCCAAACTACAGAATGCTGGCATAGTTGGAAGATAACATTTAGTTAATTGCATGAGAGTTATTTAATTTATTGTGTTAGCTTGATAGATATGTGCTCACTCAGGTTTTTATAGATTGCTGAATGCTGGGTTTCAACCTCATGTAATTCATAGCAAAAACATTATTCTTTCAAGTCTTTACTTTGTTTCTTATACCCCCCCCCCCCATTTGGGACTGGCTATAAGTTACAATTTATTTAATAACTTATTCCAGAGTAAAGGGGATTTGATGTTCTATTTCATATTCCAGACGGTAGTGGGGAATCTTCCTATTCAAGGATAGATGATGGCAGTGTAACTGGCTGCTCAGTTGGAACTCTGTAGCTGAACATCCTGAACTTAGATATAAAGGATATGGATCTCCTTCTCCCATCCTCAATACAACAACAATAAACTAGTTAAATATATATTTCGTATCTCCAAATCTGGTGTCAGAGATAAGCTATAATATAATGGGTAGCTTTAATGCTCCACCCCTCCCTATCCCACATTCCATGATGGCCCCTTACCACTGCCATTACTTTCAGCCCCGATGAAGGACGGGAACCCTCTCATGTCTGGCCCACCACTGGCGGCAGTCAAAGTGGCTGAAAGCTGGCTGTAGGTGGAACTGCGGGACAGGCGAGCAGATTTGCGCTGGAACTGTGCCCATGGCTGGCTCTTAGCTCCTGCAATAATCAATACTTAAATCTTCTGGTCTAACTGGGCAGTATTCATAAAAGACCATAGAATCCTTACTTTTTGGTGCTGTGCCTTAATACACAAATTTACAATGCAATAACTCAAGAAAGTATCCATAAATATTTGGTCGTTAGCTACTAGATGCAGCCTTCAATAAATTCAGATTCTAGTATAACCCCTATGTGTGGGAGAAAACAAAGAAAGAGGTTATCTGTATGATAGTCGTATAAAATTGTTCAGCCTTTTTGAACTAAATTTGTATATGATCTTATAAAATTGTTCAGCTTTTAAAACTAAACTTGAACAAAGAATTGATTATGACCCAGGTCATATATTAGATCCCAAGTTGCCCTTACTAAGTTTTTTTGATAATCCAAATAACACCTTGAAACATAAAGACTTAATAGTTTTCTTATTGGTTGCAGTTAGGCAGGTAGTAGCAAGGTCCTAGAAAACAGGAAAGGCTTTGAATAGTTCCATATGCTTTGATTGCAAAGATGAGAAAAAATGTGGTAATATCATGATAATACAGATGACACCTGAAAGTCATCACGGATCTGATAGACCCCTTGTACAGGCAGTCCTCAAATTATAACCACAATTGAACCCAAATTTTCTGTTGCTAAGTAAAATATGTGTTAAGTGAATTTTGCCCAATTTTACGACTTTTCTTGCCACAGTTGTTAAGTGAATCACTGCAGTTTATTAACACAATTGTTAAATGAATCTGACTTGCCCTTTGACATTGCTTGTCACAAGGTGGCACAAGTTGATCATGTGATCCCGGGACATTGCAGCCATCATAAATATACACTGCAACCATCATAAACATAAGTAAATTGCCAAGTGCCTGAATTTTGATCACATAACCATGGGGATGCAGCAATGTCGTAAGTGTGAGAAACAGCACCTTTTTAGTGCTATTGTAGCTTTGAATGGTTATTAAATGAACTGTTGTCAGCCAAGGACTATCTGTAGTTTGCCTACCGAGCAAATAAATCAGCAGACGATGCTGTCAATTATACTAAATTCTGCAGCATCTTGAATGTCCAGGGTCCTATGTACAGGGCTTTTTTGGGGACTTCAGTTTAGCATTCAATACCATCATTCCAGAATGTTTATGGAAATCCCCATTCATCCAAGTCACAGTTATCTCAAAGGTGCTTTTTCAAGAAGCAACTGGACTTTCTTGTTTTTCTTTGAAGATATTTCGCTTCTCATCCAAGAAGCTTCTCCAGAGCTGTAGAAGCACCTTTGGGAAATCATTCCATAAATTCTGTACTCTAAATTGATCCAGCTTTCTGTACCTACTCATAATTGTAGATGGATAATCAGTTTTTTGAGAGATAGGAAGCAACAGGTAAGAATAGGGAAAATTATATCTAGTACCCGGGCAATGAGCACAGGCTTATGCTTGTGTGCTTGCTTCATTGCTTCCCACCCCACCCCATCCCCATATACCAATGACTGTATCTCATGGGAACTCTCTGTTAAATTACTGAGGTTTGCAGATGATACTACGGTCATTGGCCTTATTCAAGATGGTGATAAATCTGCATATAGTTGGGAGATTGAATAATTGGCCCTGTGGTGCAGGCATAACAATCTAGAGCTGAATACGCTTAAAACTATGTAAATGAGAGTGGATTTTAGAAGGACCCCTTCTATTTTACCACTTCTTACCATATTTGACAGCATAGTATTGACACCAGAGTCCTTCAAATTTTTGGGTTCTATAATCTTCCAGTACTTGAAATGGACACTTAACATTAGAATCATCATTAAAAAGGCACAACAAAGAATGTTCTTCCTGTGTCAACTCAGGAAGTTCAGACTGCCCCAGGAGCTGTTGATAAAACTTTTACAGAGAATTATTGAATCTATCATTTGTACTTCTAGAATTGTTTGGTTTGGTACAGAAACCAAACAGAAAAAGTACAGACTCCAGTGGATAGTTAAGATTGCAGAAAGAATAATTGCAGCCAGCTTGCCTCCCATAGAAGATTTGTATATTGCTCAGGTCAGAAGGAGGGCTGAGAACATATCTGCAGACCCCTCACATCCTGGACATAAACTGTTTCAGCTCCTCCCCTCAGGCATTGCAGGCCAAAACAACTAGACACAGAGATACTTTTCCCCCTCAGGCCATCACTCTGTTGAACACTTAATTCTCACAGTGCTGTCTAATGTCTATATATATTTACCCATGTAATATGGCTGTAGCATTATTGTTTATCCTTGTCTTCTTTATTCCCCCTTCTATTGGTATTATTATGATGATTATTATCATTCTGTTGCTTTGCATGTACACTGAGAGCTTCTGTACAAGAGACAAATTCCTTACATGTTTAATCACACTTGGCCAAATAAAGTATTATATTTTTACTTTGCCTGCTTTAAATGTATCAATTACATACAACAAAGGTATATTAATTGTCTACTACTATTCTCCAGATCCCTAGATAATTTTAATGAAATAAGGCTGTATGTATTTTATTTGTATATATGAGCCCAGCATAAAAACTGCAGAGGTTCTCAAACTTTGTGATATTATGATTTCCTGAAATGACAAATAAATTATATCTTCCCCATAAATAAAATCAACAATTGTCAGGATCAGGCAAGAAATTAGTATATCACTTTTCAATTGAAATTTGAAATCAAATTTAAGTCATAATTTAATACAAAGGATGAGCTTGTTTATTTTTGCATTATTTCTGAAATACGGAGACTTTATATGAAAGTATAGCTAAACTGTATGTTTCAATGAACCACTAAGTCCTCAAAAGATGGTACAACCTCCTTTACTTATGACCATAATTGATCCCAAAATTTCTGTTGCTAAGCAAGACAGTTGTTAATGGTTTTTTGCTCCATTTTATGATCTTTC